CGAAGCGACCAGCTGGGAATCCGTGTAGATTCGGATGTCCCTGGCTCCCAGGTCGGATGCTAGGCGAAGGCCGGCGAGAAATGCTTCGTATTCGGCTTGGTTGTTGGTCGTTGGGAAAGCTAGCGTGAGGGAGACTTCGATGACCGTACCCTCGTCGTTGTCGAGGACGATGCCGGCGCCGCTCCCCGTAGAGTTGGAGGAGCCGTCCACAAAGATGGTCCAGAGGTGGTTCCTGGTGGTCGGGTCGGGGGGCGTGGTCATCTCGGCTACGAAGTCAGCCAACGCTTGAGCCTTGATGGCGTGCCGGCTCTCGTATGTGATGTCGAACTCGGAGAGCTCTAGCGACCATTTCAGCATGCGCCCAGCCATGTCTGGGCGGCCGAGTAGCTGGCGGAGGGGTTGGTCGGGGCCTTGGATGATCGCCCCGAGGACTGCTTCCGTCTTCGGGTGACGCCGGGACGCCGTGAAGTGTTTGGAGAATAGGTCCTTCAAGACCCTCCACGATGTAACGGATTCGGGCTCCAGGCTTTTGTACCAGGTCATAGCGCCTTTTCTCAGAGTCGTCGGGAAGAGTCTGCATTTGATGGCTCCCCGGACATTGCGGTAGTCGAGCATGGCCTCGATGTCTTCCAGATGATCGTCCGGGTCGGAGGTGCCGTCGTACGTTGACAGCGTCGGTGGCTTCTCCATTCCTTGGGGTATAGGGGCCGCCATGATCTCCCGGGATAGTGGGGTGCGGTAGTCATCCTCGTCGCTGTGCGCCGGGGATCTCAGGGGGGATGAGCCGATCGCGGTGTGTCCCGGGTTTCGGGCCCTCGATCTCCGGCCTGTGCTCCCGCCTCGGGTTTCCTCGGTTGGGGTCGCCGCGGCGTTCTGGTTCCTCCCGCGACCGTGTCTTGCCGGGGATCTGGTGCGTTCCCGTGTCGCTTGGGGGCGGCGTCTCTCCAACCGCGGTCGGCGGTTCCTGGGTCGAGGTGAGGGGCTCCTCGAACCTCCGTTCTGGTCTTCCCGCTGGGGGTACCTCGGGGAGCCGCCGCGTTCCAACGCTCCAATTCTAGCGTTCTGTTGGGACAGCAGCTGGTTCGTCTGGTTGATGGCTGCAAAGAGGGCGGCTACCGTGGGGTCCGCTCCCGCCGGGATGGGAACAGGGTGGAATGCCGGCGGGCTCGGGGGGCGATGGTCGGCATGCAGGGGCCTTTCCTCGGACGATGGCGAGGCGGTTTGCCCGTCTCTTTCGTCGGCTTCATTCAGGCGCGCCGTTCCTACCTGCTTCCCGTGGGTGGCAGTGTTGAGCGCGAGATCGAGCGGAGTGTCGTCGCGGCGTGGGCTGGCCATAACCGTGGAGGTTTGGTGAAACTTTTGGTTTTTCTGCTCGGAGTAACGGGGAAGTTTCCGTTCCCACAGACGGCGCCACTGATCTGACCTGATCAGGAGGGATCACGGACTGGCCACACTTCGCCGGACGGTTATCTGTTTGCCGAGGTAAGAACGAGGAGGGGGTGTACCTGCAAAGCACTCCGACGCCCAAGTAAGAAGTTGGACAGAGAGGGAGCAATAGTACAGAAAGGGGGGCAAGAAGAGTTACCTGACCCTCTTGAAGAAGAGGGTATTTATAGAGAGACCCCAGCGCTGGGCCAACGGTCATTCGAGGTGGGCTGGATGACCAGGCCCAACCCTAATGACTGCTAGGGCTTACGTGGCGTAGTGAAGACCAGGACGTGGTCTTCGCCCTAGTTCAACTGCCCCTAGATCCCCGGAAAGTGGGTTTGACCTGCTCTTTCGGAGGTGGGCAGCTGGTCGGTGACGTGTCCCCGCGGAGGGGAGCACGTGGAGAACGTGTGCCGAGCACGTTATTCTCCCCGCGGAGGGGAGCCCGGGTGGTTCTGCTCGTCCGGCGTGGTGGACGACAAGAAGGGTGTGCAGATGTAGCTTGCGCTCGGCGGCCTGCTTCTGCTCGTTCCGAAGGGCGCGTGCCTGGCGTGCCCGGTTCGCTTGTTGGGCCGCATGCGGTATTGGGCCTGCCGAGGTGAGGCCCACACCGGAACAGAAATATTTTATTAATTAAAATCAGAACAACAAATAACTATTCCACATATTCAAATTTCTGACTCTACTCAACTTCAATAGTATCACTATTAACTATCTCTAATTGAGAGAAAAGTTCAGAAATAACTCTTCCATATGGTATAAGGAAAGTCATTTCCTTCATAGAGATGATTATCATTTCCTTTAAGAAGTTAAAAACTGTAAGAGGAAGATTAACTCTAACGTTCTTGGTAAGGAATAATAAGACATGCTTGTCATCCCAAGAGTTTCCAGTTGTTTCTCTCTTGGGCGGAGATTTGACAGTAGAAGTTGATACAAAACTTTTTCAATTGGTCGTAGAGTAACAATACTGCTGAAATTATCATAGTTGGCATAAATTAGGCGAAGGTGATATTAGTAGGAATTGTTGAATCTATAATATTCAACACAAAAGCATTCCTCTTCACAGTCTATTGTCTGAGCAATAAGTGATTGAATAATTATGATAGGAGAGCCATTGGCATAGGGCTGGATTGACTCGTTATCATGACCAAATGACCCAACTGAGGCATCTAACCAGAACTCTTTAACGAGATAAATGTAGATGGATTCATGAATAATGTCAAAGTAACCATTCAACTTTTGATTGCGAATAGTTTTCGTTAGATCAAAACCTTTGTCTTTCAAATTATTGAAATCAACATTTCATTGATAACGAAAAAAAAAATTTTCATCTAAGGTTGTTGAAGACATTTTCGAAGAAAAAAAAGACTTTAAAACTAGGTTTGAAGACACAAAGAGTTGGAAATGAGACGTTGAAACTATGATTAGTGTTTAAATAAAGTGGAGAATAGGAAGTGAAACAAACAGAGAAGCTCAAACGACTTCTTGAAAATCCAAAAGATACGTTACATATTTGAATATAGATGATCATTGTTATTCTTGTGATATGATTCCAATGCGCGCCATGATTTTTTTTAGAAATAGAAACCACATAGTACCTCGATTTCATTAAAAACCGAGGGGACAATCAACTTATTATCAAAGTTATTCAAAAAATCTGAGGGGAAAAACAATTCAGAAATATTGTTTTATTATATAATTTTTTTGTAAACTAAATGATATATCTCGTTGGTTCCCTTAATAGCTAAAGGATAAGATAATCAGATTTTACTATAAAAGCACTCGTTAAACATATTTTACCTAAATTCTAACTTATAAAATGTAGTCGTTCCAAACTCAAACGCATCATTCTTTTGGGATCCATCTCACAAAATGATGTTGAAATATTATTATTGTTGTATTTAGAAGGTTGAAAAAGTTCTCTATAGTGGATTGTAACTGCAGAAAAACATATTTTCAAATTTGAAAGATTTAATTCCTTTAGAAGTTGGATGCATTCAATGATTGGAACATATAACTCCTATAAATTGGATGCGTGCATTATTTTGAACACATAACTCTCTACACCAAAATTCTTCTTTTGTTGTTTTATTTTTTTTCAATATTATGTGTAAACAATGTAATTTAAAAAAAAACAGGTTCACCTTGGTTTTTAACAAAATTGAGAGGATAACTTAGTGTAATAATTTTAAATATTGATCATTGTCCTTAAATAAATCTTTGCCGTCCATTTTATGATTATCAACGCTCAAGCCACTACCATTAGTGATATGCATGAAACCTAAAAAATATTCCATTATAAAGACTTTTTGATATCTATAATTGTTAAAGAAACGCTATAAGTGCTTGAAACTATCTACATCCACCACTTTAACTTTTGCCAATAGGAGTTCTCTATGATGGATTGCAAGTGCATAAATTTATCTGGGTTTAAGATTTGTGTTACTAAATATTCATTTGATCAGAAAATCATTTATTTTTCTAACCCTTTTTTCTAACACTTTTTTATGTTTTATATCAGAAATAAATACTTGTAAGGTGAAGGATTTGATCTTGCCCAAATATTAAGGAGTCGAAGATCCAACATTTGATTCTCATGGATAAATTGATTTTTATTTTATAATTTTGTGTAAACAATGTAATATTTTGGGTAAACATTGTAGTTTGTAAATAAATTATTTTTATTTGTTTTTTGTGTAAACAATGTAAAGAATTTTAATAAAAAATAATAATCTATCTTACCCCTCAGTTTTATTGTAAATCGAAATGTATGAGACACTTGTTTTGTAAATAATAAATATGCCGATGTTGTGGTTCAAACCCATGTGCAAATTAATTTACTCCTTTGTGTTTAAAAAACAAGGTGATAAGTCGTTACTTTTTATAATGTCCTTCGTTACCTCGCTACTACAGTCGAGGTAAAATGCATTTCGCGTCCGACGTTAAAAGAACTTTTTGTAGTATGGTTTACGTATTTCGTTAAATTTCATTATAAAATTGGTATACAAATTTAATATACTTTAATGCTATATTTAATTTTCATTATATATTAAAATTGTTTTTCATGTTTTTATTAATGTATTTATTTTTATCGAATAAAATTAATTTAATAATATAATATTATATGATAAAATAATGAACCACCAATTTTTAATTTAGAATATCATTTTGTATCTATTAGTTAGTGTAATAGCAAATTTATCAAACACTCAAATTAATTTATTAGTTATCAATTATCAGTCATCATTTATAAACTATAAGTCATTAGCTACCAGCTATCAACTATCAATTATTAATTATTAGCTATCAACTATTAGCTAGTTTTACCAAACCAAACCTTAATAATTAAGAATCTATGTAATTATTATTTTCATATATTTTAATAACTAATTAAGATAGAAAGTGGAACATGGAAAATTAAACTAGATTTCAGACATGTGGTTTTGGTTTCGCTATAGATTTTTAAGGTCTTAGAATATTGAGTTTGGTCGTTTGATCTCTAATCGATATTCAAATGGGTGGTTTTAGGGTAATCAGGTGACCTTTCGATACTTTTCCATCCCGTAACAAATTTATGTCCTCCTCAGTTGTTGGAAATTTTTGGCAAACTGGGGAGGACTTAAATCTGTTACGGGATGGAGAGGAAAAGATTCTCTTGCACAAGCCTTCAAGAAGTTGAATTTAGGAATGTATGATTCTTGAACCAACCTATCTTTTCCGACTATAATGTCTAACTCTTCAATGACTTTTTGAAGTAGTTCATGTTGATTCAACATTTTCACCAATATCCATTCAGCTGCATTCGATGGATTATCTAATGTTGCCATCATCAATTCCTACATTAAATTTTAACGAGTATATCATTTGTTAGTGTAGCTACATATGAATGAAAGATAAAAGAAAACTAAATCTTACAATTAGTTGAGCCTTGATTTCCTTCATTGTCAACAACGAAGTATTATTTTCATCTTTCAGGTTGATCAAAACATCTAGCAAATCCTCTTCAAATTTCTTTGATCCATCATTCCAATGTTTCATTCTTTCTTCTATAATGGGATTATGACACTTGTTCATTATGCTCATTGCATTATTGACCTTTCCTTTATGACCATATGTGTCCAATAGACTCAAGCCTGGGATACAATTTGACAGAGAAAAACAAAAAAAATATAATCAAACAAATCTAAAGTAGCATTAACTTGTTCAACATCCTCAGGACCAGGCCCTCCATCCTTCAGACCCTTTCCAATGTATCTGGTATTCAAAAATATATTCCTAAACACATTACTATAATAATGTAGCATAGTGAGTCTAGCATTTACAGGGCTACCATTGTTGCAATTGTTTTACACATGAAAAATTAGATTATCAGCTTCTTCATTTCTTTTTTCTTGAAGCCATTGATGCTTGGATGGATTGTGCAAATTTTGAAAAATAACTTTATTCATATTTTTCCATTGTTCACCATAAGGTCCTAACATTGTAGTCAAGTATCCGTTGGAGATGATTTCAGTGGCCATGGTTTTTAGTCTTCATGCAAAATTAGAATCATGTTTTTTGAAAAATTCAAGGGCAGTGATGGGATAATTTGTTGGAAATTCAACCACAACCTATGGAAAATTTAACTCAATCAATCTTGATCTCAAGATTGTTTCAACCCACATAGTGATAATGAAAGAAAACTTTAGAAAGAAAGTAAACGTTGGAGAAGAAGAAGATGGTCAATTTTCTGCAGGAAAACTCTCTGCCCACGAACTGGGGAAATTCTGTTATTTCAATTGCAATTGTAAACTGTGAATTACAAAATATGATTAGTGGTTTACAGAATATGGGTTTCTCCCTATTTATAGATTTATGTTTTCTTGCACCCTAAGTCAAAACCCAAAACTATAAAATTCCAAAATAGCTAACATTACCAAAATAGGTCTAAGTCGAAATCTATAGTGAAGCAACCTGCTTCGACACACTAAGAAACTCGACACACTAACACATTAGACTAATTTGACTAATCCTTGTTTTTGTCAAGCTACATTTCTTTGACACAAGGAATTAAAACTCAACACACCACCTAATTTATTGTGTCTAAACTATCCACATTTATCATAGACCTTAACCTTCTGAAAACTTCGACTGACACTCCCTTCGTCATGATGTCTGCAATCGGGTTCTCAGTTCTGCATTGTTCCAAATTCATCTTCCCTTCTACTACCTGCTCTCGAAGATAATGGAACCTCACTTTGATGTGCTTGCTTCAACCGTGTGCTATTGGATTCTTCGCTAAGTTGATAGTTGGCATGTTGTCGATCTTCATGGTAATTGTTCCATGACTCTTGCTATGATCTCTTTGACCAGATTCACCATCCAGGTTACTTGACTTATACAAAGAGAAACATCTATATATTCTGATTCACATGATGATAATGCGACTATTGACTCCTTTCTCGAACTCCAAGCAACTAGTACACCACCTAACATAAACACATAGCCACCTATGGATTTTCTATTCTTAGCATCACTACACCAACTAGAATTGGTGTATCCCACTAACTTGCATTCTTTTCCTTCATCAGCTGCAGAAAACAAAATATCGTAGTCGAGAGTCCCTTTCCGATACCTTAGTGTCCTCTTCGCCGCTACTAGGTGTGATACCTTTGGCTTCTACATGAATCTACTTACCATACCTACATTGTATGCTAAGTCAGACCTTGTGTGACAAAGGTATCGAAATCACCCAATAAGTCTTCTATATTGGGTTAGGTCGACATCATCTTCATATAAATCCTTCGACAGTTCTAATCTGATCTCAGTTGGAGTCGAAGTTGGGTTGCAATCTTACATCTCAAATCTCTTGAGTATTTCGTCTGCATATCTTTTTTGGTGCATCATCAAATCTCTACTACTCTTGTAGAATTCGATGCCAAGGAAATATGATAGATTTCCTAAGTCTGACATTTCAAACTCCTCCCTCAAGTTATGTTTGAAATCTTCGATCTTCTTCTTGCAACTTTCTGTTATCAGCAAGTCATCGACATAGAGATATAGTATAAGAAATTCACTACTTCTTCTTCTTACATACACTCCATGCGCAGTCGTACACTTCATAAATTCCTTCTCCCTTAAGAAGCTGTCAATTTTCTTATTCCAATAACTTTGAGCTTACTTAAGTCCATACAGGGCTTTATGCAGCTTGTACACCTTTCTTTCTTTACCTCGTTTCACAAACTCAGTTGTTTGTGCAACATAAACTTCTCCATCAAAGGGCCATTAAGGAATGCACACTTAACGTCCATCTGGCATGTGTGCCAATTATTCATATTTGCTAGACCAACAACCAATCTGATTGTTTCAATCCTAGCAACTGGTGCAAAAACTTCGTCAAAGTCGATTCCTTCCTTCTGAAGAAATCCTTTCGCCACAAGTCTCTCCTTGTGTCGAGTTACGTCTCCTTTAAGATTCACCTTCACCTTGTAAACCCACTTCACATCAATTTCCTTCTTGCCTTGAGGCAAATCGACAAGTGACCAGGTGTTATTGACTTCAATGGAGTCTAACTCTTCATTCATTACTTTCACCCATTTCAAATCTTTCAATGTCTCAACTGCATTGACAGGTTTGATATCTGCGTAGAAAGCGTAGTGTACCAGCTCACCTTCTTCATTGACCACATCATCTGATGTAATCACACATTCTTGCAACCTTGCAGGCACGTGTCTTGTTCGTCTAAGTCTTCTTAGGCCAACTTCATCTCTAATTTGTTCATATCAAACTTCTCTTTTGACTTCGGTAGCTGGTTCTTCACAAGAGATTCTCACTGAATCCTTCTTGACATTCTCATTCCAATCCATTCTTTAAGCTCATCTATGATCACGTCCATGCTGATCACTACCTGCTTATTCATTGTGTCGAACAACTTGTGACCTCCAGTCGAATGATATCCTATCAAGATCATCTTATTCAACTTTAAGTGACTGAGGCTAGGCTTGACACCATACCAACATTCTTCTAGTGTGATTCCTTCAAGCTTCTTCCTCGGACATCTGTTTAATATGTATGTTGCTGTCAAACCCGCTTCTCCCCATAATTCTTTGGGTAGATGCTTTCCATTCAACATACTTCTCACTATGTTCATGATGGTTATGTTATTTCTTTCTGCAATTCCATTTTGTTGAGGAGTGTAGGGTGGCACCACCTCATGTACAATCCCTTCTTTTCCATATAATGCATCGAACTTTTTCGTCACATACTCTCCACCACCATTAGTCCTCAGAATTTTCAGCTTTCGAACATTATGTCTTTCGACCATAGATTTGAGTCTGGAAAATACCTCGATCACATCACTTTTATTCTTGATTAGGTAAGTCCATAGCTTTCAACTGTAATCATCTATGAGCGTGACAAAGTATTTGTTTCCTGCAATCGAATCCACTTGAATTAGACCACATACATCAGAGTATATGACTTTCAGAATTGCCTTCGACTTCCTTCCTACATCCTTGCTGAAGCTATTCTTGTGTTGTTTCGATTGAACACACTCTTCACAAACTTCACTTGGAATGTCAATTTGAGGTAATCCTGAAGCCATATTTCTTCTCTTTAACTCTCTGATGTCATTGAAGTTAAGATGACCTAGTCGAAAATATCATAACCACTCATCTCTATTGGCTGCAGTTGCTAGGAACTTGTGCTCCATTACATTGATTTCAATCTTGAAGGTCCTCTTCTGAGACATTGGAGCCTTCAAGATTAACCTACCACCTTCGTCAGGAACTCTCATCATCTTATCTTCGATCAACACCTTATAGTTCTTTCCATTAGCTGCCATATACTGAGCAAATTACTCTTCATTCCTGGTATGTACACCATATTATAAATTATTGACCTCTTTCCATCTTTCCTCATAATCAAAACATCGCTAATATCTTCAACTGCTAGAGTATTGTCATTTGTAAATTTCATCATTTTCTTTGACGAGGGCTTCTGTCGTGGGGCTGCGGGAAAAGGTTTGGGAATTGTGGAATTGTAGGGAAATGTGCTCGCCAAGATCATTGCAATCTTGTGCCTACGTATCTTACATTCAGAGGAGAATGAAGAATCAGAGCGTCCGTAGTTCGGACAACTACGGTAAAAGGTTTGAAAATGAATGAGTGTTTAGGTCACATTCTAACTGCTAAATGTTGGCTTGTCTGCTCGCTAGGGGAGGCTTAAGCACTAGTTCATATGCGCAGAAGAAGGGACTAAACAATGTTCTTTGGAAAAAGTTGTTTGAGTCGAACGAGAGTTTAAGTCGCATTCTAACTGCTAAAAATTGGCTTGTCTGCTCGCTAGGGGAGATTGAAGCACGAGTTCATATGCGCGGAAGAAGGGACTAAACAATGTTCTTGGCATCGGTTTTTGAGTTGGAAATCGCACGAGGGCGAGGAATTTAGTGTTTGAAAAGTTTCAATCGCATGGGGGCGAGAAAGAGGAGTTTGGTTAGGTAATTTGATGGAGAATGAAGAGTATTCGATAAACGAGACGTCGATCTTGCAATCAATTAATCGGGGCATTATTGGAATGCTAGATCCCAACGACACCTTTTTCATTCGATTAACTTTGAAATTTGTGTTTGATGGATAATTTAGACGCGTATTAGGGTTTGAATTGAGGGAGATTTAGATTCGATCACACGAGGATGAGAAACGAAGTTAGACGGGTTGTATATTAGGAGGAATGGCGACTATTCGATAAGCGAGACGTCGGCCTCGCAACCAATTAATCGGGATATCATTGGAATTCTAGATCCCAACGACACCTTTTTCATTCCATCAATTATGAAATATGTTTGTTGGACAGTGAAAGTACTTGTCCAAGTAATTAGGGGAAGTGTTTTAGGGACGAAAGTTCGAATGACATGCTGCTCGAGGCGTACGCCTCAATAGTTGTCACTCAAGAATTCAAATAGTGCACGACTCCAAGAACTCAATTATTTTGCAATTTAGCTAGAAAAATGATTTGAATAGGTTAGCGTACTCGGATTAAGCGCGCTAGGTATTCTAGAA